TTCACTTATTTGAAAATATTTCAAGAGGATACGTTAATGGGTGTTTCTTTTCTCTCTCTCTAATATCTAACTTTAAATTATCAGTTTGGGGTTTTCCTGACTATTTTTTTTCCCCAGTAAATAAAAAGGTAACACTAGTTGTTACGGGTCCTTAGAGACCAACGTCTAGAATTTTATTGTATTCAACTTCTTTATCCATCATGTACAAATTAATATCCTTTTAACTTGGATATTGCTGTAAGTTACACCTCCATTTAAACTACCATGTTCACTTTATGTGTTTTTGGAAAATAAAGTATGTATGTATATTCTCTCTCTCATACAGCATAATTAAGAAATTTTTAAATTTTGCAATGGAGATAACGTTTTTTTTTTTTTTTACCAAATTCATCGATGGATGTTTAGATCCTTTGAACTGCGAGTTGAAAGTAAGTGAAATTTCCAGAAATGGGCGCTGTTCCCTCTTTATATGAAAAATTAAATTGTCTCTAATTATTCAGCCAAACAATCGGTTCTAAAAGTTGTTTCGACCAATAAAAAGGGGGAAATAAAATAAAATAGCATAATGTCCATCATTACCTCAGGAGCTGTCGAACATTGTAACATCATGAGCAAAATCACTAACACAATCGTTACGTAGCACCGCTCGACTTGCATGACGGAATGGAGAGATACAACTGCAGGAAACATGAACCTAAAACTTTTGCACGTAAAATCATAGTTTTTTCGCAATGGAAGGTCCTTTCTCCACATTTTCCATTATCTTTCCCTGAAAAAAGTGTTGCCACCTTTAGTGGAAACTGTCAGTGTCTGGAATGTTCAACGCGAATATTGACTGTGAAACTGCAATGCTTCATATCTCGGTTTCATTGTCTCAAAATCTCGCACGGCTCTTATTTCATTCTTTAAACGGAGACTGGACCATCACTGAGGCTCGAAAATTTCCACAAAATTTTTTTCCCATCGAGAACAAAAACGACCGAGGTTTTTCAAGAAATGAAATTCATTGCTTTTGGACGTAAAATATAAAGCATGATAGAAAGTTTGCAATTCCGCAGTTTTGCCATCAATATGGAAAGTAGTGTGGGTAAGCATTACGTATTGGAATACCATTAGTTTTTTTAGCCCTAGGGTTTTCATTAATTTTTTACCTTCCCCTTTACCTCTCCAGTCGCTGAATATTGCTTTCACACCTTTTTCTCTGACGCAATACTGTCAGTCACTGCTAGAAGTTGCGAAAATAGAACGAGAGTAGGTACAAGTTCAAACATGACGGCAGTGGGGATTTAGTGAGAAGGATAACGACTCTTCCATTTCATAGAAAATTGCTCTGAATGTGAGGCCGCCTTAAATCACGTGACGTTGTAAACTATAGAGCGGTCCCCCTCAGGGCCGGATTAGGGGGGTGGCCACATGGGCCGCAGCCCATGGCGGCAAATCAAGGGGGCGGCAAATTTTGCAATTTTATAAAAAAAAAATCGAATTTTGAAAAAAAATTACAAACGAGAAAAGGTGACAAAATCTCTCATTTCCTGAGAGTATAGTGATTTCTAATTTTGTTGTCTTTTAGTGATGAAAGAGACAGCACCTTTCATTAATCGAGTTAAGAGAGAAACCAGACACGCAATTTGGCCTGGAACGGCGCGACTTAGAGAAATGATGACGAGGACTTGAGATGAAAAGGAGAAGCCCTCGGCGCGGCGGTCGGCATGTAACATATATTAGCGCCAAGAATGCATGAATACTTCACGCATTGCACCAAAGACAGTGCGGTCAGCGTGAAACGCTTAGCGCCTACAAGACTGCGTGAATACCTCACGCATTGCGTCAAACATGCACAGTACAGTCTGCGCGGCGCGGCGGCGGAAGTTAAAATCATTAAACTACATCTATGTTTGTTCTTTCATAATTTGTTCGTCCATTTCTTATGAATGGAAGGCTTTGTCCACACAGAGATAGGTTTACGGAACTTAACTTTCGCGCCAAGTTCCGTGAACTTTTGCTAGTAGTATTAACAGGGCTTTCCCAAAAAATATGTCCGACAAGACGATTCTTATGCACCCCTCCCCCGCTGGCACGCTTACTTGATGGTTTTTATTGGTATTCCAAAACGAATGAGAAGGGGGCGGCAAGTAGGTAAATCCGGCCCTGGTCCCCCTCCTCCTTTCGCAACATTATATTCACCATATTTGAGGTTTTCCTATTTCCTCGCGAGCTTTGCTGTGTAGAACCCTAAAGTTTGGAGCGCGTCCGAAAATTTTTTGGAATTTTAAATGTATTTGGACCCATACGACGAAGGTTTTTTCCCTCCATCCAGAATATCCGGAGGAGGCTGATGATACTACTTTCAATTAATATATTTTCAGGGGGGCCAGGCCCCCCTGGCCCCCTTCGTACGTCCATAAGTAGTAGTTCCTTATTATAAAATGTATGTCAAATATCTCATAGATCCTGCAATCATAGACAGTATACAAGGCTCATGAGACAATAACGCTAATTTGACCATAAGTTCCTTGATTTTGGAGGCATTATCTTGAGCATTTGGTGGCTTTCAAAAACATGATATTAGCGGGCTGAGTTTAGTTGTGAGAAACCATTTACATTTTTGGCGAACAAGGGTCTGCTTTTTTCCTTATTTATTGACTGGAAAGACTAAAAAAGCATCACGATGTAGGTGGTCCCTTTCTTTGAATTAATTTCATAATTATAATAATTAGGGAATCGGTGAGAGAGCCAAGGGATCACCACGGCACCTGGTTCCTCTCTTTGCATTGATTTGGCTCGTTTTACATTTGGGAGAAGGGAACCACGCTCTTGAAATGTAAGAGGAAATAATGATTTACGTCCTAAAGACTACTTTGATCTGGTATATACGAATTATCACGATTTATTCATCCAGCAAGAGTTGGCAAATGTGAAAACCACCCTGCATCATAACTCCAGACCTTGAGCTTTACTTGGGCCGCCCTAAGCAGAAAAGCAGAAACCAAATCACATCAGCCTTTGCCAAGTTTTGTCGGACGGTGTACTATTTTACAGGAGAACGGTAATGTAAATTCTGTCGTAAATTTCAGAGGATTTTCTCTGCGACGTGAAGCAAATTCCATGATATTTTCAAAATAATCCATGCACTCGCTCTTCTGTAAAAAATAAATTGCTCCATGAAGTTTGGTAATGACTGATGTGAATAGTTCCTTTCCGAGGAACACGGTATTTTTATTCTAAATTTAAACCGCGTAGAGTCCACGCAAAATGATTTTACGCATTTCATGACTGCGACAGAAGATCTGCCATCTTAATTCTTTCAGTTACTTTCAATGTTAAAGTGACGTCAGATAGTCTTCAGTCGCAGTCTAAAAGTTTGAAAATTTATTTGGCGCGGAGCCTTACCTGACTTGAGCAACGCCTGACTTTTTCTTTTCTTTTTTTTTTTTTTGCAAAAATCACCGAAATGAAATTAAGAAGTAGAACAAAACATAAAAGTGCATCTCATATCCGAGGCATTCAAGCAAAGTAAAATGTCCTGACATCTTGTAATTTCAATACATTTTGCTTTCAGTCGTACCTTCTAATTTGTATTTGGCCTACAATGGGCAAATTTTAAGTGTCAGGTCTCGCCGAAGCTACTTTGAAAATGGCCGACGAAGACTCTCTCCGGTGCATTTTTACGCTAGTGTGGACGGTGGGCAAGGTTCACTTATAGATGTGCTCACGTAATGTATTTTTGCAGAAAGCGTTTCATTTCAAACCATATTCAAATATTGAATAAAGGTATAATCACCTTTATATATAATTCAAAAACATATTTTCCTAAAAAGTTTTATATACCCACGTATAAAGATTGACTATACAAATGACCTGAAATCTCTCATTGTATTTTAATGGCTTTTAAAATATTTAAAACCTTTTTTTTCAGTGATCTACAAATTGACTTCAAAATACATTGAAAACGCATTGATGTCATCAAAACTTTTTTTCTAAAAGATTCAAAGCAGCGGCGTGCGGTGGGTTTAGTGACAGGGCAAGCTCCAGCGTTCGCCATCCGGGGGGGGGGGGGGGGGNTTAACGTAGTCTCTTTCCCCTCCTCAGAGAGCCTCCCTAGAAAATTGTTAAAATTTTACGGTATTTACTCTATTTTTCGGATGAAATCTGATGGAACGTCTTGAAAAACTGTGGTTTTATTACTTTCTCTCTTATTTATGATTTCGTTTACTCAACTTGTTTCGAATGTTATTGAGCATTAGAGGACGGCTCCATGCTCTTAACTCCTAATTTTGCCACTAATTTGAGGTATTGTAGTCTTTATTCTACATTATTTAGAATTTTTTGAGTTTAAAATTAGAAAAATAAGTCAGAAAATTAGAATTTTCTGCATGTAAAACATGATTGAGAATTTTCTAATTCATCACTAATTAGATCAAGTGAGCGAAATTTTATAGAATTTAAGGGCTTTTGCTCCGAAGGAGCAATTACAACCGCGACGGAAAGAGGGAGCAAGATACCGCATCGGAGGCAGAAGCAGCGCGCTGCGGTGACTGGCCAAGAGATGGCAAAGAGAGGCGAGCTGCGATCGCGCAGCGAAGGGCTCGGACTCGAAACGTACCGCTCCACCCGCCCGCTCTACTGCTTTCCTATACTATAGTGGCACTATACGTATTTCTGTCTCTCTCTCTTTCTGTTTTCAATGCAATTTACATACTGAACACCTTTTATAAATTATATTTGCTAAAATGTAAAACATGCATGCAACAGGTGTAATTTTCTTCTTTCTTTTGAAATCTTTGGGCAAGCAGTGCTTGCCTTGTTTATCCGGACCGCACGCCACTGATTCAAAGTAGTTTTCGAAATGTTTCATCGACATTTTTGAAAAAAAACACGTACGAAAGTTTTTAAGTTTTTCGATAATTTTTTTTTTTTTTTTTTTTTTTTTTTTTTTTTTTTTTTTTTTTTTTTTTTTTTTNTTTTTTTTTTTTTTTTTTTTTTAATTCATCGATATCAGGGTACACAATAAACAAAGGAGTATCATAACATTCAAGTCATCTATCTCGTTGATTTAAGCAAGTACGAGGCACTAATACTAACAAAATTAAAGCATTTAGAGTTATTTTAACAGCTTTTTAGCGTCATTGCCCTCTTATCGATTTCATACAGTCTTTGAGAGCGACCAACTTCTTCGTCCCGGTAGAAAAAGTGACCTCGGCGGTGCATTTGTGATAAACATATAAGCACCCTACTGTCTTTCGACACGCAGAATACTTCGCACTCTTGCAGTGCCCGTGGACATTCCCTGCTCCCGCCTGGGCTAGCGTGATGATGGACGAGAATGCCTCATCGCATTCTTGGAAAGAAAATTCTGGAGGCTCGAGACATGATGATCCGCGGCCTCCGCGACACGGATCCGACTGTAAATATTTATTCAAGATCTCCCGTGGTGTTTGTGACTGAAATAAAAGAAATCAAATGGAAAGGGTTAACTGCATTGTGACGAGTCTGAAGGTGCATATAACCAATCTGCGTTGCTAAGGAAAAACGCCTTATGAACCATAGAGTACATAGAGTCGTAATGTAAGTGGGAGAGCTGGCGCCACTTTCAAGCAATATCCAGCTCCCGAATTCCGAGACTCCTGTGCGGAACCGGGTCACTTTTTCGATACATAATCGATTGTTTGCGATACACGGGAACCCGGCCATGGAATTACTACATATTCCACACCGCCATTTTGGATCGAATATGTGTCGAAAAAGTGGCCCGCACACCGGGCTCGGAACTCGTCGAGCAGAACATGGCGCCAGCTCTCCCATTTACAATGTTTGCATTACACGACTCTATGTACTCAGTGGTATGAACACACGAAAGTTGCCAAATTTTCTCGGATAAAACTTGTATTTTTGACAAAATTAATGTATATTTTTCCGTATAATTTTCAGATATTTTTTTCCTTGGAAACGTAGTCAACGTAATTTATCGATAACTTCCTTGATTTTTTTTTTCCTATGTCAACAGAATATTACGGAACAATTTCGAGATGGAGAGTTGACTTGTCACTCTTCAAATAAAATTACATAGGAGTGTAAATTCTGAAATGTTGAAATGGAGATGCGTGGTTTCGCATTTTGGCATATGTTCGCATTCTGGAAAATGCGACTCAAAAGTATGAGGCGAATTCATCCAGAGTCTACGCTACTACCGCTTTAAAAGACAAGGGAAAACCATCATTATGTTGCGAAGTAGCAAACCAATTGGTTTTAACAGTTATTTTGCCCATTGAAAGGGGAAAAACGAAAAATGAGCTTATTTCAAAAATATCACAATTTAAAATATTACCTCCGAATACTGGATTGCCATGAGCAAGACCACTAACAAAATTATAACGCAGCACCGCTTGACTGCCATCGCCGAATGGAGGAAGTCAACTACATGAAAATATGATTCCGACTCGTTATCGCGTAAGATCCAGCATAGATGTTCTATCACGTGAGGTAATTTTTGCGCACTTTCCATCATCTCGCCCCAAAAAAAAGTGTAGCTACCTAGGAGGAAAATCATCTTGTCTGTGTTTTAGCCGCGAGGGTTTAATTTTTTTTTGCCTTCCCATTAGCTAAGTATAGCTTTCACACCTGTTTTCCTTCGCAATGCTGTTAGTCACTGCTAAAAGTGCAAAAATTGAAGAAAAGTGCGTGAACACATGACGTTAGAAAGGAATCATGAGTGACCTTTTGTTAAAAGGTTTTTTTCCCCTTCCGCGGTTATAAGTTTTCCCTGGTTTGGCTGAGCAGATCTGCGTGGAATATTCGATATGCAAGCGAGATTCTATTCGACAACGACATAACCACTTTAGGATCGTTCACGTCCACCAATCCGTATCTCCTCTTTTGCCTCTGGCTTCAAATCTTTGTTCAAGCCTCCTTAAATTATGGAGAATTTTGTCACCCGACGGAGTGTATAGAGTTGGCATTTTTAAAATCGCCTAGTTTCCTCGGATATCTCCGGGATTACTTATTGTTTGTGCCTACCGAGTGAGTAAGGAAAGCACTTCGGACCTCGGTTCTGGGTGAATTCAACTGATCTTAAAACGCACCAAGGATGCCATTGTTAGCACCCACCGTGAGATGTGCATTGTGCAACGATTGGAATATTCTGAATTATCGAAAAGATTCCTGGATCATTCACAGCACGACTCGACCTCGCGGAAACACGGATTTAATTTTTATATGGAAAAAGAAGTTCACCGTTGAAATTTTGTAGAGCACAGTGTGCGATATATTCAGTCACATTAAGATAACTCATATAGATTGCGTTGCAACGTCAACGTATTTTAATGATTGGTTATGTAAAAGGGATTTCAAGGATTACTGAATACCTCATACACAGAGAGAAATATCAACACAAAAGTTTGGTCAACATGGGAAGTAAAACACAAAATAATTCCAGCCTTCAGTTGACGATTTCAAGAGCAAATGCTCAGCGCGTCTGACTCTAGATCAATAGGTCCCGGGTTCGAATCCCGGTGGTTGCGTCTAATTTTCACGGAATTGACGAGTAGATCTGCTGAAACAGATTCTCCTCGGCCCTAATCCCTGAAAATTAGAAAAGCCTGGAGCATGGAGCCTGATGTCTACGGACACTAAACATTGTCTAAAGTTGGCTGAAGGTGCAATAGACACGAAGCCATTAAACCAGCAGAAAAAAAAAAAAAAAAAAAGAGAGCAAATGCCAGCTAGTTTTCATGAAGAAATTGAATAAAAAACGACTGATAGATATCAACGTCACAATCGGTGAAATGCATTTTCCCAGTATCTCAATTGTTTTCTCCGCTAAATTCACCGCAAACCGTAACAAAATCAACACAGAATTTTTGTTGGTTTGTATGTTTCACTTCCTATATTAACCAAAAGTAACACAAAAGCACAAATATTTTATCAGTGTACATATACGGGATCTGATCACATCATTGTATTATATATTTAACCTGGATATAGTACTGAATAAAAAAAAGTGTACATATAAGTATACAGTGTATTGTTTTCCGCAAGTTACGATATTATTGCACGTTTGTGTAGCCGTAAAAAATCCAAGCAGAAAGATGATCAAGAAACGCTGGTAGTACCATGTATACTCAGTATTCATTACTGCTATTCCTGATTTTTAATCTGAATTTGGGGGTTTTCATGTATTAACAATTTCTGAAGTTGCAATACGAATCACCATGTGCTGTGCTTCTCAAGTTTTTATTCTATCCACCGTTGAAGTAATAATCAACGAACTGTAAAACTTCGTTAAGATTACGTGGTTGACTTAAGTTTTTTTTCTTTTTTTTAAGAACGACCCCTAACCTTGGAGAATTTCCAGCAACCTGATTGTTGAAATTTTGCGTTGGTCAACCGGGTAAAAAAGGATTAAAGAAAATGGAGTTATGTGATTGGTCGATGCTCTGAGTTGTGCGTTTTGTGGTGCCAATAAAGGGTCTTATCAACGAAAGGCCTACCTCTTAAGTTGCCGATACTGTGTTCATCCTTCCAAATCTCATCCTTCTCAAATCCACTGTTATCGGAACGGCAAGGCGCACGGCTTAGAGCACCGACCAATCACAGGACTTCATTCTCCTCAATCTTGCCTTAACCGGTCGACTAACATCAAATTTTATCGATCAGGCTGCAGGTGTCCAAAAATGTATGAATTTTTATGTTCAAAAGAAAACTACCGAGTGAACTGGGCACATGAATTCTTTGGTTTCTAAATTGAACAACTATTGAAGGAGATATGACAACCTACTCTGCTGAGGTACATATGCTCAAGAGGTAAATACTGCGCGATGACATCACATACGGCGATATATTTCCAAAATGTTTAATGTATTTTTTCTCGCACCAGAGAAACAATTTAATGAACACTGCGAACTCAGCTCATCAAGCACTCTTCGAGGGAGCAATACAAGTTTTTGCACGAATTTTTCAATGGAAGAGCCATCCTGAACCTCGAGTTCTCTTCTGGAGAAAACACCATGTCTAGTAGTCCATTGAAAAACATGATAAAAAAAATGGCCGGAGGTCACCGAATAGCCAATGGAATCATCTCTCCACGTCCGGATTATTTAAATGGGCCAATCACACGCCGATTGAGACGGAGGTGCTGTGACGTCACCCTCAGACTCTCCAGAGTAACAGACATCCGATCCGAGAATGTTCTGCGTGTCTTGATGTGACTGTAACCTCTTACACAACTTAATTAAACATTCAGTCAGGTGGTTACCTCGCCGAGAAGGAAGACAGCCGAGAGGCCTGTGCTTATTTTCTTCAACACATTTCATTTGAAGATCATCCACCACCGAGAATTTCATAAGTGCGAATACAATTAGGCGATAAGATATATTTAAAGCTGAATCAGCCCAGCTACTTTTTACACGGAGGAAAACCTTGATCATATGACCGGAAAGTTCAGGAGATGTTTTTTTGGTTCGGAGGACTGAGGATCGTAATGAAAGTTCTTTCTTAAACAACTCATTTCCTTAAGAGGTCGTATTATTATGAGGGGCTTGGAGGACAAGGCACATAAGTGCAGTTTTTGCAAATATTGAGATATCAACGATTTCAAGTAAAACTAGTCCTAATGCATATTCTGAGGAAAATTCGCTTGCAAATACCAATTTTTAAGTATCAAAAATTCAGTTTGAACTTTCTTTCCGCCAAAAGGATCCATGTAATCTTGAAACTTCAAATACCTACGTATTCCTCGAACTAGCAATAACTACGCTTATGCATGCGGCTTGTCCTCCAAGCTCCTCATATATGGACGTATTTATGCTAAAAGGAACTATGTTACACGCAAACCCATAGTTCTTTTTAGCACTTTTTACGTCCGTATGGTGTACATAGTGATTAAGAAGAGGTCCAAAGAGATGCGATCCTTAACATCATGAAACCTTATCCCTAACTCGAGAACTGAAATTGAAAATGAGTGTGAGACAGCCATCATTAGAGACCGAGGAAATTAAGAAAGGCATGCTCCGGGACGATCGCTGAATTTTTTGTGCTGCGTGTAAAAAAAATGATGGGTACCGCGTCGGAATTGTTGGTGATGGAAATTTCCACGGCAATGCTTTTCTTTAGGCAGATTCAATTTTATTTTCGAATTCAAAAATATGGAAAAACTCTCACTGTAAAAGACAAATGTTTAGTGTCAAACTTTTATGTTTCTCGGAAATGTTGAATGAAAAGAGGTAGACTGAGAAAATGCGACGCGTGAAACAGCCTTGAATGCACGAGACCAGTGGCGTGGCGCGCTTTGCGATAAATCGATTGATCTGCCATTGAAACTCATGGAAATGAATCGATAAATAGAGTGTTCGCAACGAACACCTTAATAATCGATTCTTCACCACTGCGTCAAACGCGGAGCTATATCGATAATCGATCACTCACGCCTAGCCACTGATGAGGACGAGAGTTTTTTCTCCGCAGCCACGAGCGAGGACCCCTATTCTAAACGAAGGATCAAGGAGATCATCAAACTTTGCAAATTGACTACCAAAAAAATTTCCTATTCGTCAGATGTTTTGAGATAGGGGGTCATTCAAATATTTTGTAGCCAATTTTTGCTTACTTTTTGACCCCCTGGCTCTCCCTTACTTTTAAGGCACGATCGTAGCCAAACTCCCCCCCTCCTCCCCTTGAAATTAAGTAAGCTTGGTTTGATAATGTGAATTAGCCGCCATATCTAGCACAGGTTCTGAGGTATATGGACTTCGAAACATTGCAATTCAGATCGGAGTATTAGTGGGACCGACGCGCACTTTTTTTTTTTTTTTGATGCATCTAAATGACTAAAATGGCGTCAATTTGCTTTTTGCCTTGAGGCGCTGTAAAAATTACTCGTGCGCAGTATAAAAAAAGTCGTGACCTTTAAAATTTTAAAATCATCGGCGCGTCACACTAATCTAGGTTTTTTATGCCAAGTTTATGATGAAATTTCGCAGAATTTGCGTTCGAAGTTACGGAGTGAGCACGAGACATACGTTCCATCAGTATGTTTGAAGTAATATCTATACGATTTCACTTGTAAAAAAAAGAAGAAAGTAAAGTTATTCTGTGAGAAAAGTTAAATCCAGTCCGTTATATTCGTGCACTCGTATCTATAAAAAGCTACCTACAACGTCAGACATGACATTTCAGACGCACCTCGTCACACGGTAAACACGGCAAACTACATTATTTTCCCGAAAACCTTGACAAAATTACAACATCCCATTTAAAGCTGTGGTAAAGAATCGATCATGAAAGAGGTCGTCGCGAGCACCCTGTTTATCGATCCTTCCTCATAGATTTAAATGGCAGATCAATCGATAGATCGCAAAGCACGCCACTCCACTAAAACTAAGGTCCCTTTCCCCGCGGATTGTCACATATCTAAGGCTTTGTCTCCACGGGACGTTTTCATGGGATTTTTCCCAAGTTCGAATCGCAGGAATGAAACTTTTGGGATTTTTCCCAGTTA